GTCAGCGTTAGGATTTTGAATTTGATCCGTTGCGCAATCGGAAGCCAGTGGAGGGATTGGCAGAGGGGGGTGGCGGAGACAGAGCGGTTGGAAAGGTGAATGAGTCTGGCAGCCGTATTCAGGATCGACTGAAGCGGGGATAGCCAGCGGCGAGGCAGGCCAGTGAGGAGGGAGTTGCAGTAGTCGAGTCGTGATATGATGAGGGAGTGGATGAGCTGTTTAGTGGTTTCTGGGGTTAGGAACGTGCGGATTTTGGCGATGTTGCGGAGGTGGAGTCTGCACGAGTTTGTTAAAGATTGGACTTGGGGCTGGAAGGATAGGTTGGAGTCCAGAATGACACCCAGTACTCTGGCCTGCAGGGCGGGTTTGATGGTAGCGCTGTTGGATGTGACGGAGAAATCAATGGGGGGTGGTGTCCGGGCTGGGGGGAAGACAAGAAACTCGGTTTTGGAGAGGTTCAATTTAAGGAAGTGGAGTGACATCCAGTCTGATATGTCGCTCAGTAGGTGTGTGATTCGGGCTGAGACCAAGGGGGTGAGGTGGGGGGTTGAGAGATAGATTTGTGTGTCATCGGCATAGAGGTGGTAGTTGAAGCCGTGAGAGTGTATGAGTTGGCCAAGGGAGGAGGTATAGATGGAGAAGAGAAGGGGCCCAAGGACAGAGCCTTGAGGGACCCCAACAGAGAGGGGGAGTGAGGGGGAGGTGGTAGCATTATAGGTAACGCTGAAGGAGCGTTGTGACAGGTAGGATGAGAGCCAGGAGAGAGCAGAATCTCTGAGGCCGAGAGAGTGTAGTTTTTTTTGAGGAGGAGGGGGTGGTCGACTGTGTCGAAGGCCGCAGAGAGGTCAAGGAGTAGGAGCACTGAATAGTGGCCATTAGTTTTGGCGGTTAGCAGGTCATTGGAGAGTTTGAGTAAGGCAGTTTCGGTGGAGTGTAGGGGACGGAAGCCGGACTGTAGGGGATCGAGGAGGTTGTTGTCGTTGAGGTGAGAGCATAGGCGGGTGTAGACTAGGCGCTCGAGGAGTTTAGATGTAAATGGGAGCAGGGAGATGGGTCTGAGGTTGTTCGGGTCATTGGGGTCCAGGGAGGGCTTTTTAAGTATGGGGGTGATGTGTGCATGTTTCAGAGGGGAGGGGAAAGTGCCTGAGGAGAGGGAGAGATTGAAGATGTGGGTGAGGGAGCGTAGGATGGAGGAGGAGGAAGGTCGTAGGAGTTGTGAGGGGATAGGGTCGAGGGGGCAGGTGGTGAGGTGGGCATCAGAGAGGATCTTGGAGACTTCCTCGATGGTAGTAAGGTCAAAGGTGCGGAGTGTGGGGGGAGCTTCAGTATGAGGAATGTAGGGTGGGGTGGAAGAGGAGGTCAGAGCAGTGGTGGGGCCGTGGGAGAGGGGTGATGAGGGGGTAGCTGAGTGAGGGTGAAGGGGGTTGGAGAGAGTTTGAGCAGTGACGAAGTCCCTGCGGGTTATGTCGAGGGGGAGGGGGGATAAGGGGGTAGCTGTGTGAGAGGGGACGGTCTGAGAGGGTGTGTGAGTTGCGGCAATGTCCTTGCGAATTGTGTCAATCTTGTTTTTGAAGTGATTGGCAATCTCAAGGGCAGTGAGTGAGGTGCTGGGTGGAGGTGGGGGTGGAGAGAGTAGAGAGTTGAAGGCAGAGAAGAGTCGGCGAGGATTGGAGGAGAGGGCCTTGATGAGGGTCAAGAAGTAGGCCTGTTTGGCAGCATGGAGGGAGGAGGTGTAGGTGCGGAAGGCAGATTTGTAGCGGGTGAAGGCTTGTTGGGATTTGGTTTTGCGCCATAGTCGCTCCAGGGCACGACTTTGTCGTTTGAGGGTTTTGGTGTGACCAGTCTGCCAGGGCTGGAGCGGTCGGGGTCTGATGTTGCGTGTGGTTAAAGGCGCTAGTGAGTCAAGGGCTGTTGAGAGCGCATTGTTGTAGGCGGTCAAAGCCAAGTCAGGGCAGGACAGGGGGAGGATGCGGTCGTGGAGTTGATCAGCTGCAGAGTGGAGGGAGGCAGGGTTAAGGTTGCGGAGGTTACGGCTGGTAGTAGTGTGACATTTGGAGGGGTAGGTGTTGGAGGATGAGGAGATAGAGAAGGTAATAAGGTTGTGGTCAGAGAGAGGGAAGGGGGTGTTAGTGAGGTTGTGGGGAGCGCAGCGGTTGGAGAAGACAAGGTCCAGGATATTTCCGTCGGAGTGGGTGGTGGATTGTATGCACTGTGCAAGTGCAAAGGAGGAGGTTAGGTGGAGGAGACGGGCTGTGTCTGGGTTGTCGAGGTTGACAGGGATGTTGAAATCCCTAAGGATGATGGTGGGTAGCTCAGAGGAGAGGAAGAAGGGTAGCCAGGAGGAGAAGTCATCCAGGAAGCGGGGTATGGATCCAGGAGGCCGGTATATCACAGCAATCTTCAGGGGGGTTGGGGAGAATAGTCGGACGCAGTGGGCCTCGAAGGAGGAGAAGGATAGGGAGGGGGGGTTTGGGAGGACTCGGAAGGTGTTCTGCGGTGACAGGAGCAGACCAACCCCACCACCTTTGCGACCGTTAAGCCTGGGTGAGTGGGTCCAGGTGAGACCTCCGTAGGAGAGTGCAGCAGGGGAGGTAGAGTCAGTGGGCTGGATCCAGGTTTCCATGATCGCTAGGAGGTTGAGGGAGCGGGAAATGCAGTGACATTAATAATACTTCTTATTAATAGTGTGAGGGAATGATATAACCTCTGTTAGTTGTTTATTTTCATTTCTGTTCTCACTGGAGAATTTCTTCATTTTCTGTCAAAGTAAAAACTTTGTCATTAAGACCTATTCTCTCAAACAAAAAATACGCAAAAAATTGGCAACAATCATGACTGCTGCCTAAAAACTCAAAAACTTCAAAAACATTTTGGCTTGAGAGATATTTTTTTAACCATAATACTAAATTACACATAATGAATACTTTGTATCTTTCAAACTGGGCTGAGCAACAGCTTATAAATATCCTATTGCTAAGTTATAGGTTTACCCCATGCTCTCTGCTATGCAGTGTAGATAAGAATAATATAATTATATGATGATGATATGACTTTTAGGTTTGTTTTTGTTGTGTAAGCTCCATGTCTTTACTTGTATGCAGGGGCGGACTGACAACTCATGGGGCCCCTGGGCAATAGGGGATCATGGGGCCCCTGTGTCCTTGCCCAAATTCAAAAAAGCCTATGAAAAAGGTACCAGGGGCATCTCATGGGGCCCTCTACTGACCCCGGGCCCTCGGGCAGTGCCCGAGTTTCCAAATGGTCAGTCCGCCCCTGCTTGTTTGCATATCCTAACAGGGGCCCAGTTGTATCTTATACAATTACCCACTGAAGGAATACTGTACCCTAGCAACATAGAAAATGAACCGAACTCCAAGTCTAATTTAGCCTTTTTCCCAGATAATATTCTGGTTTTAATACAACATATCACCAACCTGGAACAAATTTGCCAATAAGTAGTTTTGACTTTATTTGCAACTCAGTGTACTAAAGACACTGGTTCAGCATGTTAGCGGGTGATGGCCAGCCTATTCAAAAGCAGCTAGAGCACCCCTAAAAAAAAGACTAACCTTGCATATCACCCTTTGCTCTGTATACTTCACTCTCACTCTCTCCCTCGATGCGTGGGTGGTGACCGGATCCTCTGCCCAACTTCCAGGTTGTGCGGATGTACCAGCTCCCTCCCACGGGTATCAGGACACTGGCCCACTTCTCCCAGGGCTCGACATCCACATGGCATCACTGTAACTTTACTCAGTCACTTCCTTTCCTGCATTATCTGAAGAACTCACACAGAATGCGCATGCAGATAAACTTCTTCTTTACTGAAGTTTTGCAATGTATAACAGTCAATCAGGTCTTAGGCCAAACACAGTTCAAATGAAATGATTCTCTCCAAAAACAGTCATTAGTCTTATCTGGAAGGTGAGGTATCCCTTGTGCCCATTTCCAGAGGAATCCCTCCAGGGGGAAGGAAAGGATTGTGACGGGAGTCCCTTTGGGTGGGGGCCCATGGAACACAGTCCCCTTTAGAGAGGTGGGAAGACCCTTGTCTCAGCTCCCCATATCCCTTGTATGTGTAAGTCACCCTGTGCCTGTTAGGGGTGCAAGGTGAAATGTCCTAATATTGTGTAGACATGTATAGGTGGGGGTTGTTCATTGTTTAATGCCATGTGGTTGTCCCATTGTTCTATTGTATGTCTTGCTTGGGAGCAAACTATTATTTGATGTATGTGTTTGTGTATTGGCTTGGTGGGGGGCGTCTGCTGTGTGTTTCTTGTTACTAAATGTATTTCCCCACCCTGGGTATATATCTTGTATCTATGTTAAAATAAAACAGCCTATTTTCTGGTTTCCTTCAAGTCTGGTGCTGTCTCCTCTTGTATGGTCAGCGGTGGTGTCCGTGGATCTGTGTTCGGACAGGGAAGCGGAATTACCCTAGTGCAGCCATGGTCCGGTTCCATTACAAGGATAAAGTCTCTGCTTCTAGATGCTGCTCCCTTTCATGGCTCTCCTTCCCATGGCCAGCAACCTACTCCCTCTCAGCTAACTCCTTCAACGCTATATAAGAGATCCTGCCAAGAAGAAAGTGAACTCACTTCCTTCTTGGAAGGATTTAAAAGAGTAATGAACTTTACCCTGCCTACGAGCAGAACACAGAGGCAGCTAGTTCATTGGTGGTAGCCCCCATGTACCTCTTATAACAGGTCTACTTTATTATGGATGTAGGCTACTAAGCTTGAGCTGCTTGCCTAGTACTATGATGGAAAAATATAAACAGGTGCTGTATAGGGGATAATATACAGGGACTCAAAGTGTAAGAATGTTATAACACACACACACATACACACACACACACACACACACACACACATATATATATATATTGTATCCTAAACTTAGGGGAAATTGAATTTCACAGTATGATATAATACATATTTTAAGTTATGTTTCACAGCTACCCAAAATACTTCCCTAATTATACATACTTTGTTTCTCTAAAGCACCGTGGACCATTCCAACTAAGGATCTATGAGAGGGAAGACTTTGAAGGGCAGATGATGGAGTTCACTGAGGACTGTCCTCATGTCTTTGAGCAGTTCCGGTTCCATGAAATCCACTCATGTAATGTGCTTGATGGGCATTGGATGTTTTATGAAGAGCCCAGCTACAGAGGACGTCAGTTTTATCTGAAACCTGGAGAGTACAGGAGATACACTGAGTGGGGGGCCATGTACCCCAGAATTGGTTCATTCAGAAGAGTACAATATTAGCAATACAGAGCTTATATATGATCATGGTGCCTTTCTGATAATAAAAAGTATATGCTTACTTTTGTTTTTGTTCTTTAAATGCACACTAACACACCTAATTCATATTGCTTATTGGATGAAGTTGACAGTGAAAGAAAGTATAAATGTATCATTAGGGCACATTTCCATCAAATTGTAAGCAAAATATTTATTTTAAAGTAATTTATAAATTATTTTGAAATTGCCAGTAGATAAATATTTTATTCTAAATAACAAGAAAATACATGTAGTCATTGTTTAATTCTGTAGTAAAACATTAGTTGCTGTTTCATGAACAACCTTTATTAAAGTGGGGAGGAGGATTGGAGTTAAAACTGGACAAGAGGCAAAAACTGAACAGGTAAGCATTCTACTAAAAACTTCCAGCATTAGTCATTCACATGGCCATGGTTTTTTTTCATGTCCAGAACAAAAGGAAATTCCTGTGTAGTCTAAAACTTTTACTGATTCATTGACTAAATCCTCTTCTCTGTTCTCTGCATAAAGGGAAAAAAATACAACTGTCAGTAAGCAGAGATGAACAATGAACTGTAAACATGTAGTTAAAAAAAATGACAAAAGACAACAAAAATCTATACATTTTCAACACAGGCAAAAGCATGGTTATTTCACGCTTAATGTATGCACATGTGTGGTTTTCTTTAATTAAAACTGATGCCATAAGTACTAACTAGTACTAGCTACCAGCTGACCTATACTAAACTCCAATTTATGATGATTTCTTGGCATATTAAAATTCCTTCTTACTCCTCCCTCCCACTCAGCTCATACCCATTCCCAAATTAAAAAAACAAACCTTTTTTTTTACTCACTTGAGTCCGTCATGGAGTGACATTGAGCCTCTTTTTTCCTAGTTTAGAAACCTGTGATCTACCACTGAGGTTCTGGCCTGCTGTCTATCAGTTTTGTTGCTGCCCCATTCTATGACACCATCACACTGCTAGAGTCTTGTCCAGCCTGTGAGGGAGCCTCACCACTGGACAGCACCACTGAACAGCTAATGGAAAGTGTCCCCCTTTTGAGTGTAATTATTGGATATAAACCCACTATTTCTGATGTTGCTGGTTCTAATTGTAATCTATGCCATTGTTTTCTAATAATTTCTAAAATACCTTTCCAGCTTACTATCCAACTTACTTTAGTCTAATGGATGTCTACTGGGAGTACTAATAGATGGCCTTTCCATAGAAATGAATATTGAGTCCAGGGGCAGACTGACCATTCGAGCACTCTGGCACTGTCCGAGGGCCCGGGGTCAGTAGGGGGCCCCATGAAATGCCCCTGGTACTTTTTATAGGCTTTTTTAGGTGTGCTTTGAGGGTGGGCAAGGACACAGGGGTCCCATGATCCCCTATTGCCCGGGGACCCCATGAATTGTCAGTCCGCCCCTGATTGAGTCTTTTGTGAGGAAGAAGCTCAATCCAGCCAAGAGACGTTTGATAAAGTGACTGTGCTGCTCTTTGGGGCTTCATATGGGGTTACTATCCTACTTACTTGAGTCCTGTGGATAAGACATCCATTGTGATGATAAAAAATGATTGCATTTTCACAGGAAAGAATGAGGAATCTTTCACACATTCTGAGCCTGGCCATGAAACATGCAATTAAAAGGCAGCGCTGCTTCCAGAGGGCAGCGCAGCAAAGATCTCAGTGGTTAGTATCTGTAAATATTACATTTGGTTGTGTGCTGTTGGAGGGGGTTGCATTTCAGCATAAGTATACTAAAAAAAAAAATATATATTTTTTCAATATATGCTAGGTTTTTAGAACAGCAACCTCCATGTTTCTTTCATAATAGTTATTCCCATAGATAAAATAAGTGATGTTCAGTAAACAAAACAGCCTTTAGCTGTCTGTGCCAATTGTAACCAGTCCTGTCTTAGACAAAAAAATCATGTCTGAGGGATAATGTAAACAGTCTCTTATAATCACCTCAGGGATATTAAATGCTTTCTTGTAAACAAAATGCAGTGCAAAAGACTAAGGAACAGAATATCATCTCCATATTTATAAGAACACCTGGACTGAGCAAAATCCTCCAACTTAGAGTATTTACTGTGATCAGATAGTAAATCCTGTTCCTTTATACCAAGGATCTCCAAACTTTCTAACCAAAGGGCCAGTTTATTGTTCTTCAGACTTTAAGAGGGCCAGACTGTGGCCAGCAGAGTGGAAATTTACCTGGCATCAGTGGGAGTAAACATTGACAAATATGGGATAAGGGGGAGAAATAGTTCCCCATCATTCGTATCAGTGTTGGTGTCCCAATGTTGTTGTCAGTTGGCAGAATAGTGTTTTGTATCAGTGGAAGGAAAAGTGCCCCAAGGGGCAGCTAAAGGAAAGCAAAGGGCTTCATCTGGCCCCCAAGGCCACAATTTGGAGACCACTGCCTAATACAATAGCATGTTAGGGATTTTGTCATGAAGACATGTAAAGTTACTGTTAAATCCATTTTTTACTGAATGAAATTATATGCTCAAGGATGAAGTTCCACATGTACAGAAGCATGAACATTCAGAAAAGTTCAAAATATAACTAAGTGAATATGCAAAACGCAAAGGACTGAACAAAAATTAGTCAAACTATTCTGAAATAATCTGCAGCTTTCAAGTATAGAAGCAAATTCAATTTTATAAACTTGCAATTGGCTGTTGTAGGTGTGTGCAGTAATGTCCCTCTTCTTTTGCACCAAGCACCATGTTATCCATCACAAAAGAAGGAACTCCATACCATGTTAATGCTGTTCTTCCAATCACTAAAGCTAGGTTTTTGTTTATATACTGCTAAAATTCTAGGCAAACTCTCTCAAATGTATGCATTATAAAAGGCACAACTTAAATATGACCTAAAGTAAATGAATAGATAAATAGTGCTGCGCTACTCACTAAACCTAACCATAAAGCAAAAAGTAAACGCATGACAGAGCCTCTAACTAAGGTGATATAAGTGCATACCTAGAGAATAACCAAACACAAGTGAATGAATATGTACAAACAGACTAGATGCCCTGTTAGGCAATACCAAATCTGAACAAATCAATAAGTGCAACTTCAACACATGTGCAAATCGATAATCTGAGTAATATATATCAAGGCATAAAACAAATAAAATAATTATATAAATATATATATATATATATATATATATATATAAAAGCAAGGCACACAAAATAAAAATAAAATATTGAATATTAAACACCCGTCTGAGCCGTCAACCCAGTAACAGTCTCTGAATAAATTTCCTTAAATGTAGTAAAAATCAAGATCCGTAATGCAGAAAAATCTTCAAATCAGCATATATTCCACACATGACTTAACCAGTGATCACCAGGGGCGGACTGACCATTTGGGAACTTGGGCACTGCCCGAGGGCTCGGGGTCAGTAGGGGGCCCCATGAGATGCCCCTGGTACCTTTCATAGGCTTTTTTGGGTGTTGTTTGAGTGTTGGCAAGGACACAGGGGCCCCATGATCCCCTATTACCCAGGGGCTCCATGAGTTGTCAGTCCACCTCCGGTGATCACCCTTAAAAATCCGCCACCAGTTAGCATGCACGCTCACCTTCCATTTTGACCTATTGGGAATATAGGTCAAATGCTCTTTAGTCCATCCAGCTCTCCTCCGTAAGCATATTTTACTGGCTCCTTCTCCAATTATTCAACAGAAATCCATGTTAAAAAAATATCAAAGGACATCTCATAGTGTAATACGTCCATGTTTAATGTATGAAAAACAGGTATAGAATACTCAACTTTTAAAATCACTTCTTTTAAAATCAGTCCAGCAGACCCATAAATATGACCTAAAGCTTTAAAATTAAATAATCAAGCTGGTGTCTAATGTCTCCATTCCTAGGCTGTAAAGAATGTTGTTTTCTCAAAAATTCAAATAAAAAATGCTTAAAATAAATTAAAGGATAAGTTCACCTTTGGGAACATGTTACATTTTTAGGGTGGAACATGTAACATGTTCCCATAGCTGCAGCAGCCGATCCCCTCCCTCTGACAGATAGTACGGGGAGAAGTCCCCCTATACTATTTGGCAAATTTGAAAACAGCATGGCCGTACGGGGCTCTGCCCACACGACCTCATCATTCACTCATGGACTTCCGTGGATGAATGAACTGCAAGTCCAGCCAGCCTTAGCGGCTTGTAGTTTTCAATGAATTGCTACAGTGTTGTGGAGCACCATGGTAGTTCATTGAAGCTTCTTGTCAGAATATCTGCTTGTTCGTACATCCTGTGTGAGATGGGAAACAGATCTCATTGTTTGAACACTGTTTGTGTGGAAGTAAATTAATGTTTTGACTGACATTCTGCGGTTTAGCCACAAGATGTCACTGTTTTTCTAACACAGCCTCAGACTGCATAAATATTTGTATATTCATGAAGAGGTGGGGTTTTGCACACAGAGTTGGAGAGAACAAGAAGGAGAGAGAGAAGACATGTTTTGGAGCATGGTGAAAAAGGGGCCGTGTGAGCTGAGAATCTGATGACATCCAGGTGTGAAAGCGTCCCTCAGTAACCAGAGCTGCAGGTGAGTGAAGCTGATGAGATTGCTGACAGGAAGCTGATGAGATTGCTGCCAGGAATGCTGATGAGATTGCTGCCAGGAAGGCTGATGAGAGCAGAGGAACTAAGCAACATACGGCGAGACCGCATGCTTGTTGGAGAGACATTTGTTCTGTTCAGAGTCACCAGAGGATGAAAAAGAGACCAGGGTCGGTAAGATCGTGCACGCACCTCATTTCAGTGTTGGCTCCTTGAGACTGAGTCCAGGCCTATAGTTAGTTAGTTAGGGTCTCTGTTTGTGTCAGGCCACAAGTGTTGTTACTGATTATTGGAAGGACTCCACAACTTAAAGTGACATTTCACATTGGAGAGCTGATAAAATCCTACAAACTCAAGCCAGACTGGCATTTTGCTCAGAAGGAATACTCAGGCACATGCTACAGGACCAGTT